ATGAAAACTGAGAGAATATATGTGAAAACATGTTGCAAATGAACCCTCTACGGGCAACATCACAGTTATTGTTGTGGCTGCTGTTTGTTGTGAGTCAGGGGTCAGAGCCTGATTCCTCAGCCTGTGGACTCCAGGTGCCCCAAGTAAAGATCCAGATGCCTCTGGCACAGGTGTCCATGCTCACCCTGGCTTGTCTGTTCTCAGGAAGAACGCTGTGGAGCTGGAACTCGCCAAGTGCAGGATGGACATGATGTCTCTGAACAGCCAGCTGCTGGATGCCATTCAGCAGAAACTGAACCTCTCGCAGCAGCTGGAGGCTTGGCAGGTAAACCAGAGCCCTGAGATCGAGGGCAAGAGAAGATTCCAGGAGGAATCTCTGAACCTAGGCAGAGTGTAAGGAGAGTTTGCTACTGGAGGGCCCCATGTGACTGGGTGAACAGCACATCCCAGTCTCCACCTGGCAAGATCAAGAGCTCTTGTTTCCCTAGTTCTGGGGAAGAATGCGTAAGGATGCTTGGGTGACAGTCCCCAGGCTGTTGCTGTTTGGAGATGTAGTGATCTCCAGACTTGGAACGGGGCCCGCCAGCAGCTGGTTGTCTGGGATTTAAGCTGAAAAGGAACAACTGGTTAACATGGAGGGCCCAGGAAGCTCCATGTGATTGCATGAAAATTCACAGCTGGATGTGGCTCAGCGGCCCTCCCGCAGCCGGCAGCTGCCGCCCTTCCCCTTTTCAAGGGCCAGCCTCCTTTTTCCAAAGAGCACTGTGCTAGCGCAGGCCCTGGGGAAGATAAATCAGTGGGTCCCTCTCTAAGCCCACTGTTTTTGGGATCCAGCATGGGCCGGGGCTGTGGCTGGCTTGGTTTTGTTGCTGAGGTTGAGGTGGCACAGTTTTAGGATATGAGTATAAACATTTAATATTTCTCCCCAAGAATTCTCATCCAGACAGATGAAAAAGCCATCTGTGGCTTTACAAGGTAAGCCCCCTGAGGAGGGCAGGTTGTTGGTGACCGTTCCTCCCAGGGCCCCTTGGGGCTGGCAGCTAGAGCACTGGCCCCACCACAGGGTGCCAGTCCCTGGCTCCTCGGCTCTGCATGGCAGCCAGCTGGCCGCGCCCTGGCTGACCGCCGTTCTCTCTCTTCTCTCCCGGCTACAGTTTGCTTCCTCAGGGCTTTTTACTATCTGGCTCCTTTGGTTTCTGATCTAGTGGCCTTTCTCAGTTCCCGTATCAACAGCTTTAGTTGTACACCCCTCCTGCCTTTGAGGTGAGCCTGAGCCCTGAATCCCATCCACCCTCGCCCTGCCGTCCCGCCGCCTCCCCTCATGGCCCACTGTGTTCTGTGTGCTGGAGCCTGGCGTCATCTCTGTGCACTGTGACATGTCCTCCAGTACTAGCTCCCTCCTCCATCACAGTCGCATCCGGTGAGCTCCTCGGCAGCACGTGGCCCAGCGCTGATGGCTGGTGCCATTTTCTCATAAATGGCTGTTCTGTCCACTGAGGGACCAGCAGGCATGGAATTGTAAGCAGCATGTGTCTGGGAAACTCTAAAGGGGTGAGCTGGACAGAACTGACTGCTTAAAGTTAAAAAATGCAGTTTACAGTGTGCCAGAAAAACACTGGCAGCTTTGAAAGGTCGGTTTTTGAAGGGCCCTTTAGCATTCCTAAATTAGTTTTAGCTTAGATTTTACTGAGCACGTCCTAAGTGCAGGGCACTGTGCCAAAGATCATACACTGGAACCTTACAAGTAGAGACCATGTGTTGGCAAATACCTGGCATGATGTCAGCTCTGAGGGGCAAGCAGAAAAGGGGATGGAAGAGAAGGGAGGAAGACGAGGGCAAGGAAAAGACCAGGAAGGAGCTGAGTCTGAAGGACAGGGCTGAGAGGATGGGGAGGCTGGAGAGCAGGCCCTGAGCCAGAGAGTGTGAGGAGTCCACACTCACTGCTACCCCACGATAACTCGGGGAGGCCCCTTTGTTTCATGCCGAAACCTGCAGAGATATTAGAACGACACCCACGGGTGAGAGGGAGGAGGAGATGGACAAGCTGCTCAGGTGGAGGGGGCTGGCCAGCCCAACTTCATGCCCTCATCTCGCAAGTGGCTGTTCAGTACCAGAGAGGTTATCTACCCCGGCCACAGGGAGCCTGCCCTGAATGCAGGCCTCACCTGTCCTGTGCTCAGACACTGTAGACTGACTCATTCTAGGGTTTGGCCAGAAAAGCTCAGGGTCTTTTTACCAAGATGCCACAGAGCCTGCCAGGTTCAAGTCATGAAGCAATCGAGCAGATACGTGTTACATTTACTGATGATGCTAATTACACAGGCTGCTCATATTTCTAAACCAGTAGTTTTCAAACTTTGTTAGTGGCAGAACGCTTTTGTCAGAGTCAGAATCTAGCCACTAGAATGGGAAGGGGGTGGAGCTGCCCTGTCCACAGGCTCCTCTACGGGAGAGGCTGCTATTCTGTAAAACATGGTGGGGCGGGCCATGGGGAGGAAGGCATTTTGTGGACAACAGGAGCCCCCAAGTCCAGGCCATTGGGCTGGGAGCTGGTAAACCGAGGTGGCCCTAGGGCCTTCAGGGGCTGGAGGTGGCAAACCAAACCGGAGGCACAGCCAGGCCCACAGGACCCAGGAGGCAGAGCTGCAAGGCCTAGTCAGAGGAGGCGGAGTGCCAGTGTAGGGACTGCAGGGGCGGACCACCCGAGCAGTCAGCCGAGGACCATGGTGGTCCAGCAGGTGTCATACTGTCGAGGAGAGCCCAGCACAAGCCTGTGGAGGCTGGAGGTGCCGTACAGCTCCTGCGTGTGCCTGGTGTCATACCCATGCTCACCGCTTTCATGGTCAGGGCAGTCCCGGCTGCAGCCGCTCACTCATCTCATCCTCATCTCTCATCTGTCTGACGTTGCCACCTCCCTGTCCACCCCTAGGGCCAGGTCAGAGCAGCTGCTCAGCCCTGGCCACTCTCCCCTCCCCTCTGCAGGATGACATGCACAGGGTCATTGACCGGCAGCTGATGGACACTCACCTGAAGGAACGGAGCCAGCCGGCTGCTTCCCTCTGCAGGGGCCATAGCGCCGGGCGGGGGGACGAGCCCAGCACCGCCGAAGGCAAACGACTCTTCTCATTCTTCAGGAAAATTTAAGTTAGGAGGAGTCAGGCCACCAAAGATGGGTGGACTGGAGGCAGCTGGAAAAGCAGTGCAGGCGAGGGCCTCCTGCAGCGTGCAGCTAAGCAGCTGCCCTGTCCCTCACGCTAGGGCCCTGTGGGTCCAGGAGGGCCTTCTCCCTTTCGTCAGTGGGGATGGAAACCTAAAGGTGGGGGTCTTCCTTGGCCACTGAAGGCTGCCCTTGGCCCACGGCCTGGCCGAGCCCACACCTGGGCTTCTTCAGGATCCCGTGCCGGAGCAGGGTTAGGCCACCTACCAGAGGGGCCTCTTGGTGTTGGGTTCTCAGCTTAGCCCAACAGATTGCAGCTCACCCCCAGGCACTGCTGCCTCCTTGATTTTAGCCAGTGGGGAACAGAAGGAATGGAGGCCCTTCTCTGCATGCCTCAGGAGGCCTTAGCCCCGGGGGCCTCGTCTTGCGGGGCAGCAGGCCATGCCTAAGCCTCCATTCCTTCCCTAGCCCAGGGTCAAAGGGGAGATGGCAGCCCCTCCCCCTCGTGCATGCACCTCTGCTGGCAGGAGGCCAAGCCTCTGGCCGCAGGGCCCAAGAGCCAGGGCTTACCCAAGCTCAGCTGAGGCCACCCCCTGAGCCCCCAGGAGGAAGAAGACCCTGTCCCCCGGCCACCACTACTGTCCCTCCCAGCCTCCAGTCGCTGCCCCTTAGCAGGGCCGGGCCAGGCAGAGTGTTCTCGCCAGTCATCTGCAGGCTTTAGCCATCCAGCCCTTTCCCCTGCTCAGGGCTGGGGCTGGACGGGGTCTCCTCCCATCTCCCTTCTCCACCACTCACATACACGGCTTCTTGGCCCAGCCAAGCAAGTCCAGGCCACAGAATGGCACCAGAGGGTTCTGTGGTCAGCCACCCCACCTTGAGGGCAGCATGGGCACCACGGGGTGGAGGGAAAGGGGAAGCTGCCAGGAGCCCCTAGATGCTTCCTGCTGGCTGCTGCTCCTGCCTCAGCAGCTGCCCCACATCCTCCACCCAGGCCCCTACTCAGAGGCTCCGCGGCCCAGCCAGCCCCCAGCTGCTCACAACGATTCAGTCTCCCTCCCTCACACGGGGAAAGCACAGCAGGGATGCGCGGAAAGAATGTACCTGTAGATGTGTACATACCACAGTGCTGTAATTTTGTATGTAGCAATCATGTAAATACATGTATGGATTTTATAATATACATATATAAAAATCTATAAAGGCATATTTTTAGAAAAACAGCACACCACTGCTTCTTTTGAAAATAGTCTGAATAAGAATAAAATGAATTTCTACAGAGCTTCCTGCCTCCGTCTATTTGCTGGGGAGCGGGGGTTGGTCCAAATGTAGACGGTATGTCAGACTCACCACTGGCTGCTGCTGAAGAGGTAGCACTTGTGGGTTCCCCTGCACCTGGGTCACTGCAGATGCCGGTAGTTAACCAAGGGATGTGGCCAGGAAGGGGGGATCCTGCCCTGCCCCTCTCGCCTGGCACTGTCCCCTGCCAGCGCTGTTTCCCAGGCCAGCAGGGCCCTAAAGCTTGGCAGAAACTTCAAGCCAGAAAGAGCCACTCCAGGCAAAGGCTTCCACTGCATCTTTCCAGGCATGCGGAGAGTAAACACGGAGCTTCCCCTGGTATCTTACCACATGTGCTCCCAGCCAATGCATCCAACTAGGGGGAACTCAACTTTGGACCACCTGTTCATGGAGAAAGCGGATCTGGCTTCTGGAAGTGTCCCAGGCCTCGACAGGCTCCTGTGCAAGACCTAGACCAAGAACAGGGAAGAGCTGGACACTCTGGGTGGAAAGAAGCCAGGCCCACTCAGAGCACATCTCTGGAGGGAGAGCAGACAGACCCTGGAAGAAAATTTGGCAGCTTGAACCTTTATTTTTAGTATTTTTTTAAAAAGCATAATTAGAAACTTTCAATACAGAAATAATCCTAGCAAACCATTTAAAAGTGGTGGTGTTTGACAGGAATTTCACATCAGGTCCACTAGGACGTCAGTCCAGCCCTGATCCCCCACCCCCACCCCGTATCCCCCATTCATGCATGTAACAGTGGGACAGGCACACTGCCATGACCAAAATCACCCCACTACCTGGGGCTGGACGTCCAGCTGCCAGAAGCCATGGGGGCTCCCAGCCTGGGCTGGAAGCTCCCAGGACCAACCCCCCCCCAACTTATTGCTTGAATTTGCAAGCACACCCCTGCTGGCCTCGCCTGATCACTCGGAGGCAAGCATGCCCCCCACCCACCAGCACAGGAGCCCCCAAGCACCACACATCCTCACAGGGCCCATGGCGAACCAGAACAGTCACAAGGACGGAGACCCCACTTCTGCCGCCCCCAGACCAGATGAGGCTGCCTGCTGGTCAGCCCTGCAGCCCCTCCATTGTACCCTCCTTCCCAGGCCCACAGAGCTCCCCCACCCCATCCTGTGGCTCCAAAGTGAAGGCCTGTCCCAGCACCACCAGCTTTTGGCAGTTTGGGCAAGTGGAGAGACGGGTGAGAAGAAACCCCCAGTTTTTATTGATTAAAAACCCATCCACAGTGCCAACATGGAAACTGCAGTGTGATCTGTGATGTGATTGTCCAATCACGGCTCTGCCTGGAAATCACCTAGGAAAGGAAATCTAAGGAAACACATCCTGGAATCAGTTCTTCCCAGGTTACTTGATCCCTGTAGGGGAAAGGGTAATGAGGTGTTCGGGCTGGGGGCTAGGGAAGCAGTCATCAAGTGCAGATGACCCTGGTTTTTCTCCAGGGGACTAGGGGTCAAAACTGACCGCTCCCAGCCATTCCTTCCCATCTTGCTACCTTTGTCCTGACAAAGATTAGGACAATGACTGGGGGCTGTCCATGGTCCCAGCCCAGAGGCCCCAGGCATGAGAGCCCAGCCCCACAATGGCAGGAAGCCATTCGTTTTATTTTTTTCCTAAAAACAGTGGACACAAAGTGGGTTTGCCCCAACTTTTGCTGCTCTGCCAATCAAACCTCAGGGAAAGAAAATAATTGTGAGGAAATTCACTGATCTGGCTTCATTCTCTTGATCTGTTAAAATACTGCTCCTGCAGCCCCCATGCCAGCCCCATCTCTGCACGAACCTACCCCAACCTTTCTGATGGAACGTAAACCTCTTGATAGAAATGAGAAGCCATGGCTCCCCTGGGTTTGGAGCTCAGAAGCATCTAGAAGGCAGGACAAGAAATCTGTTGGCCAAGGGGCAAGACTGACCACTTCTGGAACCGCAGGGCTTCGAGGCCGGGTTCCCCAGCTCCCAGAATGGCTGGGCGCAGAACAGGGAGGGAAGGGAGCTGGCACAGGCCCCGGAGAGGGGGCAAGACCCTGCGTGCCAGGGACAGAAGCTGACAGCCTGTCGGAGAGAATGAGCAACACGGAGCCCACTCCACTGGCACAGGCTGGCCAAAGATGCAGCTAGAATGTGACGCTGTCTCCTCAGGACGCTGCTTGTAGTAAGATGGGCTGGGGAGGGGCGCAGGGAGGGTCCGTTGCAGCAGGCTGGCATCAAGGAGGCAAAAGCCAGAGCAGGACGCGGTGTGCGGCCGGGTAGAGCAATATACACTATGTACAGACTCTGTGAATCAGTCCGCTCGGCTGGCAGCGTCCTTGCCAGGTCCAGGCGCCTTGGCCGGGGAGGAGGGGGCACCAGTAGGGAAGGGCAGGCTGGTCCAACACCTTCTTGGCACTCGAGGGGGAAGGGGGAGGAAGTGCCGATGGCGCCTCCCGATACAAAAACATGGAGAGAATTCTTTAAATAACGGCACGAAACTGAGACTGTCCCCCGAGGAACCCCCGTGGACCTCGGGCTGGGGGAGGGACCGCAGTGCAGTCTCTGCAGTGGACCGGGCGGCATTAGCAGCATCGTTTCTTTCGTTTACTGTTCTTCGTAAGCTTCACCACATCGTTCTGTTGTTGCTGCTGCTGTTTCGCCAGGTTGTCTTTCTTTGCTCGGAGGACCAGCTCCGTGATGCAGTTGAACATCTGTGGAGAGGAAAGAGGAAGGGCCGGCCTCAGACCTGGCCAGGAGGTCCCTGCTGGCCGCACTTCCTACCTGTGAGTGTTTGGTATGTATGTCTTCAAAGCCTATTCTAGAAGGAGGTGGTGAATTATTTTATTTAAAGGTCAAAAAGGAAACACATTGCTAAAACCTTGTCTCTACAAAAAATACAAAAATCAGCTAGGCGTGGTGGTGCACACCTGTAGTCCCAGCTACTTGGGAGGCTGAGGTGGGAGGATCACTTGAGCCCAAGAGAACGAGGCTACAGTGGGCCATGAACACACCACTGTACTCCAGCCTGGATGACAGAGTTAGACCCTAACTCAACAAATAAGTCTGAAAAAAGGAACATCATCAAAGGCCCCCCATGAGCTGTGTGGACTTGGGGAAGTCAATCTCACAGGGGTTCACAGGGGTTTTCCAGTCCTTTTTTTTTTTTTTTTTTGAGATGGAGTTTCGCTCTTGTTGCCCAAGCTGAAGTGCAATGGTGCAATCTCGGCTCACCACAACCTCCAACTCCCAGGTTTAAGCAATTCTCCTGCCTCAGCCTCCTGAGTAGTTGGGATTACAGGCATGTACCACCATACCCGGCTAATTTTTTGTATTTTTAGTAGAGACAGGGTTTCTCCATGTTGGTCAGGCTGGTCTCAAACTCCCAACCTCAGGTGATTTGCCTGCTTCGGCCTCCCAGAGTGTTGGGATTACAGGCGTGAGCCAGCAAGCCCAGCCTCCAGTCCTTTTTTTATAGAGACAAACCCCTTTCCTTCAGCTGGAATCTGGTGACATGACAGATGAAAGTGCCCCGGCCCTGTTCATGGACAGAGGTGACCCAGGGTCTGCCCACTCCACACCACCTCACGGCATGTGGGGCCCAGAGAGGCGAAGTCACTGCCCAGTGTCATACCAGCCCCACCCACAGGCCCAGGTGGACAGGCCAGTGTCAGAACACCAGCCTGACCTTCAGAGAAGCTTTGCTCCCTGCCACTGTATGGCCCATGTGCCCCGAAGCAGTGGGGATCCTCAGCTTCCCATAGGCCTCTGAGCTCCACACCCCACAAGGCGGCCAGTGAGGCAGAGGACTAGTACAGAAACTGCTTGGCTTTGGTATGGGACAGAGGTTTACTCAGCTTCTTTTTTTTTTTTTTTTTGAGACGGAGTTTCACTCTTGTTACCCAGGCTGGAGTGCAATGGCGCGATCTCGGCTCACCGCAACCTCCGCCTCCCGGGTTCAGGCAATTCTCCTGCCCCAGCCTCCTGAGTCGCTGGGATTACAAGCACACGCCACCATGCCCAGCTAATTTTTTGTATTTTTAGTAGAGACGGGGTTTCACCATGTTGACCAGGATGGTCTCGATCTCTTGACCTCGTGATCCACCCACCTCGGCCTCCCACAGTGCTGGGATTACAGGCTTGAGCCACCGCGCCCGGCCTTTACTCAGCTTCTTACTAGCTGGGTGGTGGTCCTTAAGTTACTTCAACACTTAGAGCCTCAGTTTTCCTATTTGAAATGTGCGAATAATTGTACCCACCTTAGAGGACTGCTGAGCTATGAACTAAGATCATTAAAGGGCCTGGCACATAGTAGGCACTCAGTAAATGGCACGTACTAGGACATTTTCTTTTTTTTTTTTTAAGATGGGGTTTCACCAAGATGGCCAGGCTGGTCTTGAACTCCTGACCTCAGGTGATCCACCCACCTTGGCCTCCCAAAGTGCTAGGATTACAGGTGTGAGCCACCGCACCCGGCCTACTAGGACATTTTCTATTGGCCATTTAGATGCCTCGAGCAGGCCAACAGTGAGAAGAAAAGGGCCACGGGGGTGCGGTGGAGCCAGTGACCCAGGGACTCACCTCTTCCACGTTGACATTCTCCTTGGCGCTGGTCTCGAACAACTGGATCCCCATCTGCCCGGCAAATTTGTAGGCATCTTCTGTCTCCACCACCTTCCGCTCAGGGTCATCATTCTTATTGCCCACTTCAAAGCAAGGCAGAGTCAGCGCAGCCCTAAAGGGCACAGCTGGCTGTCTCCCTCCCCTGACCCGACCCCCACCCCTAGCCCCTGGGCACAGCCTCACCTAATATTCGGCACACATCATCACAGTTCTGGTTGATTTCGTGAAGCCACCGCTTGACGTTGACAAAGGACTCGGCACTGGTGACGTCGTAAACTACAATGACCCCGTGGGTCCCCCGATAATACCTGTAGGGCCAGAGTGTGCGGCAGCACTTCAGCCCCAGCAGGAGCCACCCCCTTGCCAGGACCCGCCTGCCCACATCAGGACAGTGACCCAGGAAAGGGGAGGGTGGCCCTGGAGCCTGGGCTCTCGCCCTGCTCAGCAGAGACCCGAGCCATGCCCAGAGGGCAGGAGAGGCTGCAGCAGCAGCACTGGCTCCCCCTGCCTGCCCCCAGGCGCCAGTAGGGTGGGATAGCCAGCCCCTTGGTGGCAGAGGAGGTCTGAGGAGTCACACCATGCTGTTCAGAGTCTGCTGCTGGCTTGAAACATCTTTGAAGTTCTTGCTTTATTTTGGGATTTCAGGCAGTTTTTGTATTTGACATCATGTTATCACTGTCTTTGAACATTCAAAAAAAATATTTTCTCCTCAAACCCGTTTTAGAGAAACGCGTTTCCAAGAAGCCACACCATCATGAAGCCCTGGCAAAGTCTGTGTCCCCTCCCCTGGGGCAGGTAGGCATCTCCCTTCCTGCTGCTCTTGGCTCATCTGTGCAAGTGGCAGGAAAAGCTTGGACACCACACAAGCATCTGGGGATGGCTGGGGAGAGGGGCCAGCAAAGCCACCACCCACACATGCAGACCCCAGGGCCAGCCAGGAGAGCTGGAAGGGGACATCAAACTCTCCTCTCCAGACCCCATCTCCCCATTCATCCGAATGGTACAGAAAGACATCAATCCCCAGAGGAAGACAGGACCATAGCCTCTGCTTCCCTCTGTCGCAGAGCTGGAGGCCAGAGAGCAACCCTGCCCTGAACTGTGCAATCAGCCAGAGTCACCTCTCTCCTGCTCTCCCCAAAGCCGCAGGGACCTCCTCCCCGAGGCTCCTCAGGACACCACACAAACCACGAGTGGACAGGCTGCTTCCTCCCAGCCTTCTGGCTGCCAGCTGCTCCAGCCCTAAGTACCTCCACCCTGCCCAGCCCTGGGGCAAAGCCCAACCTGCCCCTGCCCCTGCCCCATTCTGGCTCCACCCTCAACACCGCTGCTGGGATTTCCTCCCAGGGCTTCATTCTGCCCACAGCTTTGCTTCCAGGACGACATCGCTCCTTGGCTTTGGGGGAGCTGTGACAATCAAGTTGTCTTGGCACTGGGCCCAAGAGCCAGTCTGGCCTTGGCAGCAGCTGTGGAGAACAGCCGGCTCGGCACACGGAACGGCGTGGCGGATGCCTTCCAGAGTGAGGGAGCGCTAGAGCCGCAGGAAGAGCAGAGGAAGAGCAGAGGAAGCGCAAGGAGTGGATGGCTCTGCAGACTCTCCTTTGCTGAAGATGATCAGAGATACCAAGAAACACCTACAGCCATGGCCCTGGCGCAGAGCCCCAGCGGCTCCCTGGGCGCCTCCGCCTCATCTGAGGCCCAGAAAAGGGGCTTTATCTGAGAGCAGAGAGTTCGTCTGCGGATGAAGTCAGGGGCTCAGAGCTCTGGCTAGGAAGGTCCGGAGCACTGAGGCTTCCCATGGCCACCAGGAATCGCTTTCACTCACCAGGACTCTGCTCTAGGCCAGGCTCAGAGCCGGGGGCTTGGTATCCATTACCTTACTAATCTCTGCAGCCACCTGATCCAGGAGACCTCAGGATGGCCATGTGACCAGCGAGGGATCTGACTCCCAGGCCCAGCCTTCCTTGTCCCTTCTCCCCTCACCTCCACTCCACCCACACCTCTCAGCGCCAGCAAACCTCAGCTTCTGAGAGCAAGAACCCAAGAGGGGGTGACCACCGGGCTCTTTCCCGCCAGGCTAATGGGACACAGTTTCAGTTTCTCTTTTAATGTCCTGCATCAGAAAGTCACACTACTGTATCCTGACTGCCCCATTCCCAAAAACTCCGAAAACTGACTTCCCCAAAACTCCTTCCTTCTTTGCCAGTGACCATCACAGGGCATCGAGACTTCCAGTGAGCCCTGCAGGGCCTCCTGCCTCGTGGGAGCCAGAGCAGGACTCCTAAGACAGAGCTACCACTCCGCTTCCCCAGACAGGCAGGATGGCAGCAGGAGTCCAGCCACTGCCCACAGGCCACCCCTTCCCAAGCCCCCTGGGAAAATCCCATGCTGCTCCCAGGAAGCCGAGTAACTCTTCCCAGCTCCCCACGGAATGGAGGAACCAGTTTACCCTCTTCCCGCCCTGCCCAGCCCGGAAAGCAGGTGACTTCATGGTGGCAGGGAGGGGCTATGGCTCCTCCTGGTGAAAGAGCCTCGGACCCCCCAGGCCCCACCGCCCTGCCCGGGGATTCATTCCTCATAGCCATGGGCCTCCCAACCTCCACTGCCCCAAACCTCTGCCTGGTTTTAAAGCACAGGATGGGGCGGGAAAGCAGAGTACCATCTGCCCAGCGGAGGAGGGCCTCGGCAGCCTCAACGCCAACCCTGAGTACCCCTCACCCCTGCCCCCCAAGTTAGGAGGCTTGATCCTCCCTGGGCTTGTTTTCCTGTCCATAAAATGGAGATAGTCACAGGCCTCTCCACCAGGATTAACCGAAATAAAGCAGGTGAAATCCTAGCGACAGGCCCAACCCAGAGCAAGGTCAGCGCCCAGACCAGCTGACCCCAGCATAAAGGCTTGTCTTGCCTGGGCCTGCAGCCCCAGGCTGCCCAAAGCACTGATGCCAGCCCTGCCCAGCGTCCTCCACAGGTTCTCAATAGCAGCTGCTGAGACATGCAGGCCACAGAGCCCCCGCTCACAGGCTCATCAACCATCACCACACAGGCTGCACCCAGAGACCCTGGGACTGTGAGCTCCCAGGGATGTGGGCACCACGGGCTGCAGCACACGTGTGCTGTGTGCTCAGTGCAGGGTGAACCCAGTGACAAGCTTTCCGCCTTGGCTCCAGCCCCACGAGCTGCCCGCCCAGTGCGCCTGTCCCTCCTCCAGCAGCCCTACTCTCCCCCACACTCCCAGCCACCCATGAGGGCACTGCACCCCACACTTCCCACCTCGGGAAATGCCAAGGGGCCAGGGGTGGGCTGCCAGCATGGCGTGCACCCGGCTTTCACACTGCAGGGAGGAAGGGGGCCGCTGGCCGGGACTTCCTCATTTGCCTTCCTGAGGCCACTTCTAGAGGTGCTGCTCGAGAGAGCCGAGGAGGTGCCCGTGAAGCCAGACAGCTGCCCCCAACTCTGCACAGGCCACTGTGTGGAGCGCAGGCTCGAGCACTGGGAGGGACCCCTCCAAGGTGCTCTCTGTAAAATGGGATCACAGCAGCTCCAGGCACACGGAGCTGCTAGACAGCACAACCCAGCCACTCATGTTGACGCCCTCAACAGAGTACCTGGCCCCCTCCACATGGAAGCCAGCCCCAGAGCAGGCCCTCAGGGAAACAAGCACAGAAAGCCTAGGCAAGTTGCCTCAGGACACACAGTCCAACAGCTCCAAATCCCCTTAAGACCCTGCTCCTTCCTAAAACCTGCTCCACTAACAAGCCAGTGGGAGCTGCTCCAAAGGACACTCCCATCTGCGCTGCCGTTTCCCTCTGGCCTGCAGCTCAGCCACAAAGGTGGCAACCCGTGGGCAGCCGGATTTCCCAGGAAACAGCTTTAAGGGTAGGGAAGGGCCTAATGACACACACCAGTGTCCCCTCTAGACAGCGCCACCTCCAAGGCGGGTGATGGGGCCTGCCCAGGCCAACTCTAGCTTCCACAACTGACACCTACCAAGAGGAATTGCCAGTGACTAAGTCCTGGGCGGGCAGGGCACGTCACAACCCCCTAGCAAGGCAAACACTACGCTGCTCCCTCTGTAAGGTGACGGTGTGGCAGGCCGGAGGGTCGGCTGACTCTCCAAGGGGACAGCCCATGGCCACTATCTGGCCAGACTCCACCACGGTGCTCAGCACCACCCACCGCCCCCACCGGCAGTCATCCCCCATTCCCTCACACCTTCAGGACGAGGAAGGCTGCAGCCAAACACCACCCACTACAGCCGACAACAAGCTCACTTCCTGACAGCCTCAGGGACCCACTGGTGACATTTCCACCATGACCAGGCACCGGTTGCTCAACCGTGTCCACAGGTCAGTGGTGCCGGTGCCGGTTGAGTGGGAGTGGGCGTAGACTCACGTGGAGGTGATGGTGCGGAAGCGCTCCTGCCCCGCCGTGTCCCAGATCTGCAGCTTCACTTTCTCCCCGTTGATCTCCACAGTCCGGATCTTGAAATCCACTCCGATCGTGGTGATGTAGCTGCCTGCACACACACGGCAGTTAACAAGGCCCAGCACAGGTCTCCCTGCAGGCCCCCAGCCCCACACTGCACATGACACACCCCCAGGCTCCCGCACCCCCAGCTCATTACATGTGCCTGGCACATTCTAGGACCCAGGGACACAGCCCTGAACAAGGAACACGAGGCCCCTCCACCCACAAGTAAAGTGAAGGGGGGAGGCAGGATGCCAGGAAACAAAGGGGACAATTTCTGAGAGTGAAAGTGACATGCAGGAAATAAAGCGGGATGGGAGCGGGACAGGATTTTTTAGAGTGGCTAGGTGGGGACATGCCAGCTGTGTCTCAGAATGGTAGACCTATGGCGGGCACACTCTGGGTTTTTCTTTCCTATTCAATTTAAAAATTTTTTATGGCCCTCAAAATTCACTTCCAAACACACAAATAGGTCATGAGCTGCAGTCTGAAAACCACCGCTCCAGGCAGGGGAGACAGCAGCAAAAACAGCCACGGGTGGGATTACGTTGAGGTCAAGCCCTAGGCCCAAGGCAGGCAGAACGTGGCGAGGCCAGATCTTGGACCTGAGTGCCACTTCCAAGAATGTGGACTTTCTCTCGTGTGTGATGAGGAGGCACCAAAGGGTTTTCATCGGGGTGCGAGATGCATTTTAAATAGCTCTCTCGCAGCATCTGTGAGAAAAATTGATTTTTTTTCGAGACAACACGTCTCATTCTGTCACCCAGGCTGGAGCTGGAGTGAAGTGGGACTGCATCCTTGACCCTCCTCAGGCTCTGACAATCCTCCCACCTCAGCCTCCTGAGTAGCTAGGACTACAGGCACATGCTGCCACACCTGGATAATTTTTTTTTTTGAGGTGGAGTCTAGCTCTCTTGCCCAGTAGTGTCGTGGCATGATCTTGGCTTACCACAACCTCCACCTTCTGGTTTCAAGTGATTCTCCTGCCTCAGCCTTCCAAGTAGCTGGGACTACAGGCACGTGCCACTATACCCAGCTAAATTTTTTTTTTTTTTTTTTTTTTTTTTTTTTTGAGTAGAGACGGCCAGGCTGGTCTTTACTCTCCTGACCTCGTGATCCGCCGGCCTCCGCCTCCCAAAGTGCTAGGATTACAGGTGTGAGCCACCTCGCCCAGCCTTTTTTTTTTTTGAGACAGAGTCTCACTCTGTCACCCAGGGTGGAGTGCAATGGCACGATCTCAGCTCACTACAACCTCTGCCCCGCCCCCGAGTTCAAGTGATTCTCCTGCCTCAGCCTCCCGAGTAGCTGGAATTACAGGTTGCTGCAAACCGCACCTGGCTAATTTTTGCATTTTCAGTAGAGATGGGGGTTTCACCATCTTGGCCAAGCTGGTCTCGAACTTCTGACCTCATGATCCACCCACCTAGGCCTCTCAAAGTGCTGGGATTACAAGCGCAAGCCACCACGCCCAGCCTGAAAGATGGATTTGAGGACAATTTCTAGCTGGAATAATTGTCCAGTCCAGCCTTCCAAAGCCTAACACTAGCAAAAGCACAACTTCTCACTACATTTGGGGCTTACGGTGTAACAGTACAGGAGATACCACGCACAGACACAATTATGTGAAATGTGGCAAGGGCATAGGAAAGGTCAAATTCCAAGGTGGGGTGGAGAACAAGGCAGGCTTCAGGGAGGATGTCATTTCTGGGCTTAGCTTGAAAGAACAGGTAAGACTTCAAAGGTTGACATTAGGTAGGGAAAAGATGTCCCACTCAAAGGCAAATAGCCGAGGCAAACCCACAACCAGAACTTTGAAACAACAAGGAGTGCGGCCCAGCGCCTCGCACAGTTAGGCTCTCCAGAAACAGCTGGGGGTTAACAAACAAGCAAGCCAAAGAACAAAAGAATGACCAGGTGGTAGGATGAAGCCGGAAAGCTAAGCTGGAAACAGACCATGGAGCCAGTGGTTCTCAGCTGGGATGACTCTCTCCCTCCAAAGGACACTCAACAATGTCTGGAGACATTTTTGGGTGTCACAGCAGGGGGAGGGGAAGCGTTGCCAGCAATCAGTGGGTGGAGGCCAGGGATGCCACTCAACACCCTTCAACACGCAGGACAGCCCCACAACAAAAATCGCAGGGCCCAAAGGGTCAACAGTGTCCCAGTGAAAAGCTTGCTGCAAACTCTGCTCGGGTGAGAGAGGCCACTGTTTTTTTGGGGTTTTTTTTGAGACAAAGTCTCACTTTGTTGCCCAGGCTGGAGTGCAGCGGCATAATCTCCACTCACCATGACCTCCGCCTCCCAGGTCCAAGCGATGATTCTCCTACCTCAGCCTCCTAAGTAGCTGAGACCACAGGTGCGTGCCACCACACCTGGCTAAATTTTTTGTATTTGTAGTAGAGGTGGGGTTTCACAGTGTTAGCCAGGATGGTCTTGATCTCCTGACCTCATGATCCACCCACCTTGGCCTCCCAAAGTGACGGGATTAGAGGCGTGAGCCACTGCGCCCAGCAGGGGCCACTGTGTTTAAACAGAGAAAAGACCGTGCTGGACACACGCATTAGCAGTTCAGGGTGGGTGAGGGTTGCCATAATGCTTCCAGGTAGAACCAACAGCAAACTGAGATACTGGTAGTAGAAACAGAAAGTGGGAAGAGATTGCAAAAACGAGCCCTCCAAGCATCAAATGCTGATTAGATGGGGAGGAAGAGGGGCATTAAGGAGGAAGAGGAACATTTTTCAGCATAATTAGAGGCTGTTAATCAGTTATAATTCTTGAACAGAAGGTAACAGCCAGCTACAACAAATAGCTGGCATTTATTGAGCAATTACTTAGTCCCAGGCACTGTAACCTGTATTATCTCAGGTCATCCTATAACAACCCCATGGGGGAAGGACCATTATGATTTCTACTTTACAGATGAACTGAGGTTTAGTCACTGGCTCAAGGTCACACAGAGAAGCCACTGCTTTCCAACACCACACCACTAGTGAGGATGCAGGGCCAGTGTCAAGGAAAGAAGAGGGGGGAGCAAAATCCACTTTTCCACCAAGAGAAACATCAGCCATGGAATCACTTTCTTTTTTTTTTTTTTTTTGAGACGGAGTTTCGCTCTTGTTACCCAGGCTGGAGTGCAATGGCGCGATCTCGGCTCACCGCAACCTCCGCCTCCTGGGTTCAGGCAATTCTCCTGCCTCAGCCTCCTGAGTAGCTGGGATTACAGGCACGCGCCACCATGCCCAGCTAATGTTTTGTAGTTTTAGTAGAGACGGGGTTTCACCGTGTTGACCAGGATGGTCTCGATCTCTTGACCTCATGATCCACCCGCCTCGGCCTCCCAAAGTGCTGGGATTACAGGCTTGAGCCACCGCGCCCGGCCTGGAATCACTTTCTAAAAGCAGCTCAGTCATGTCAGAGGGAATATTCCACAAGACAATCAATCAGAGACGCCAACCCCACCCGAAGCATCTGTAATGAACCTGATGTATTTAACAAACAAAAATGTGTTCAGCTGGGCACAGTGGCTCACGCCTGTAATCCTAGCACTTTGAGGGGCTGAGGCGGGCGGATCACAAGGTCAGAAGATTGGGACCATCGTGGCCAGCATGGTGAAAACCTGTCTCTACTAAAAATACAAAAATTAGCTGGACATGGTGGTGCATGCCTGTAATCCCAGCTACTCAGGAGGCTGAAGCAGGAGAAATGCTTGAACCAGAGAATCAGAGGTTGCAGTGAGCCAAGATCACGCTACTGCACTCCAGCGTGGCAACAGAGGGAGATTCCCCCTCAAAAAAAAAAAAAAAAGAAAAAAAAAAATGTACTTAATCTTACCAGTGATTAGGGAAAAACAAAGGTAAACAAGTTAGCCCCTTCTGCCTATCAGCTCAACAAGAATGAAGACAGCTACTAAGATCCAGCATTGATCACGGTTGACAAGGGGCACTTTCCACCCTTCAGTGGGAGTGTGAATTAAATTACTCCAGCATCTTTGAAAAACAGGTTGGCAGTACCTTTGAAAATTCTTGGTGCATACACCCCGCAACCGGTAACCCCACTTCTACAGAAACACACACACAAGAATAAATATCAGCCGGGCTCTATGACTCACACCTTTAATCCCAGCACTTTGGGAGGCCGAGGTGGGTGGATCACCTGAGGTCAGGATTTTGAGACCAGCCTGACAAATATATTGAAAGCCCATCTGTATTAACAATACAAAAAGCAGCGGGGTGTGGTGGTGGGCACCTGTAGCCCCAGCTCCTTTTGAGATAGGAGAATTGCTTGAACCCAGGAGGTGAGATTGCAGTGAGCCAAAATTGCGCCACTGCACTCGTCTGGGAGACAGGGCAAGACTCCATCTCAAAAAAAAAAAAAAGAGTAAATATCAACTAAAGCCCAAGGAGCTAAGCATCACTGAAAACAGACACAACCCGAAGCCAGGCACAAAGTAAGAGCACTGTCAGTGCGCTATGTGGTGCGCCTAAGCACAGAAAGCGCCCCCACACTCAAATGAACCCAACAGCCTGCATGTGGAGCGCAGAAAGAAGCTGGAAAGACACACTCTGACCAGAGGCTGCCAGGGCAGCACAGGGGGCAGGAGCAGGGACTGCGCCTAGATGACACCCTTAGACGCTGTTACGGTAACCTTCCTGTTTGGACCCTGGGTGGGAAAATGATGGGCTAGCCAAAGGGTTTTTGTGAGCAGGTACATTTAGACCACAGAGGCTTCTGACAGAAGCTCCACCAGGTCCTAAGGCCCACTCCATCTTCTTCCCTCCTCTGGCAACCAGAATGAGACAGTTCCCAACGTTAGGTAGAGGCAAGTGTGTTCCGGTGCCAGGGAGGGGATGTCAACAAACAAACAAAAACGACCCCCCAGCAGGACTGCAGGGGAGGACTCACCTGAGAAAGTGTTGTCTGCAAAACGCAACAGTAAACTGCTCTTGCCCACACCTGCAAGAGAGAAAGCACTGCGATGAGGGGGGCAGGTGGGTCCCCTCCCTCCAGCCCCGGCCCTTCTTCTGGGAGACAATGCCAGAGTCCAAACTCTTAAGAAGCTCAGTGGGACCCAGCTCACTTCTCAATGCTCTTTCCACCTCCCTGAGCAGCCACACACCAAGAGCATCTCTTCTGCTCGATCCCTGACCCTTTCCTTCGTCCTTGTGTAAGACAAGCTGTTCCCAAATCCTCTGGGGGAGACATGAGAAAGGGACTGGTATGCAGGCCCTGGGTGAGGGCTGGCCCAAAGGGAGATGCCAGGAGACAAAGTAGAATGAAGGTCAATCACACGGAACAGTCCCCAAGTGCATCTACAACACGGTCCCTAGAAAAGTACATGCCACATTATGGCACATCAGTTAGGGAGCGACCTGGAATGAGGAACTGCAGAGCGGGAAGGGACCCTTGGTATCACCAGGGCTATTTTGCAGGTGAGGAAACCAAGGCCCACACAGCTAGAACTCAATGGCCTCCATCTTCCCAGCTGATGGCCCCGCTGGGTGGGCTGGTGGAGTGGAGGGTCTGCCTTATACCCATCAGGGCAACAGCCCACATGTGCTCAGACCATGCACCAGCCACAGCAGCTCCTGGCTGCTTAGAGCACAAACAGGTATACATCTGGCCTCACCCACTTTTTTTGTAAAGAGATGGGGTCTCATTCAGTCACTCAGGCTGGAGTGCAGTGGTGCAATCATAGCTGACTGCAGCCTCAAACACCTAGGCTCAAGTGATCCTCCAGCCTCGGCCTCCCGAGTAGCTGGGACCACATGTGTACACCACCAAGCCTGGCTAATTTTTTTTATTTTTAGCAGAGACGGAGTCTTGCTATGTTGCCTAGGCTTAATTTTTTTTTATCTTTTGTAGAGACGAGGTCTTGTTATATTGACCGAGTTGGTCTAAAACTTCTGGCCTCAAGCAATCCTCCCGCCTGGGCCTCCCAAAGTGCCAGGAATTCAGGCATGAGCCACTGGGTCCAGACCTGTCCCCTTGACTTCAACTCATAGTGCTTTCAGCCTGCCAAGTGCACCTGTCCCATGTCCTTCTATCCCATCCCCAATCTCCAACAACCCTGACACCAGGCAGTTAATTGACCACAAAGACTTCACACACATCGGGCCATCTGTGTGGTAAGCCCATGGATGCCTCTTTGATTGTATTTCCGGCCACATCTCTTGAGATGAGGACGCCCAGGCTCAGAGCTGCTGAGTAGCCGGCCTAAGTGCTTCTGCAAGAAGCAGTAAAGCTGAGATCCGCGTCCAGGTCGGACTCCTCCAGAGCGCTAACACTCCTCCCAATACACACTGCTGGGAGTCTGGCCTCTGGTTCAGGAAGGGGGAAAAAAATGACCGTGTGGGGGCTCCTACATCTCACTCCTGTTAGATTTTCAATGAAAATGCCACGAGGCCGGGCGCAGTGGCCCAAGCCTGTAATCCCAGCACTTTGGGAGGCCGAGGCGGGTGGATCACGAGGTCAAAAGATCAAGACCATCCTGGTCAACACGGTGAAACCCCGTCTCTACTAAAAATACAAAAAATTAGCTGGGCATGGTGGCGCGTGCCTGTAATCCCAGCTACTCGGGAGGCT